CTGGGCAGGGGATGTGGATGGGTGGCCTGGCCGCCCTGACACTTCGCCTGTGCGGTCCTCAGGATCTGGTGAAATCCCACCTCATGTTTGCGGTCCGGGAGGAGGTGGAGGTGCTGAAGGAGCAGATCCGGGACTTGGCGGAGCGCAACGCGGCGCTAGAGCAAGAGAACCGCCTGCTGCGCACCCTGGCCAGCCCGGAACAGCTGGCCCAGCTGCCCTCCTCGGGGCTCCCCCGCCTCGGGCCCCCTGCACCCAACGGCCCCTCCATCTGAGCCTCCTGTGCCTCACAATGTGCCTTTGGGGCTGCCATGGCCGCAGGGCCTTGTGCCAGCTGCCTGCCCCCTCTTCCTATGCAGCTTTAATGCCCCCTGATCCCAAGGATTGGGAGTGCAAGGCTCAGCAGTGGCCTGTGCCCCCCTCCCTAGCCCGGTCTCCCCAGTCCCAGGCTTGAAGGAGGAGGGAGGGCTCAGCATGGGGCATGGATGGATGGCATCCCCTCCGCGAGCTTGCTCGAGCCAGTGATTGATGCCAGCCCCTCCCGCCCAGGCGTCAGGGTTCTGGGCCCCCAGCAGTAGGTGGTTAGGAGGAGGGGCTGCAGGCTTCCTGGTGGACCCCTCCTTGACCTTATTCGCCCAAAGTGTCCCCTGCACTGCCCAGGAGAGGGCATATGGACAGTATCCGGAAGTTCTGGGATTCAGGTTGCTCTTAAAATAATAATTATAATTACAAAATCTGAAGAAACTTGAACTTGGAGGTGGGCGTGCTTTTGCTTTCTTCCAGACCTGTGAGGGGGCGGTGCCAGTACTGTGAGCCTGCCTGCCCGGGCTGGGATGGTTCGGAGTGGTGGAGACAGAGTGGTCAACAGAGGGACAGGAGACGGAATCCAGAGGTGCAGGTCCTGGGAAGGGGCAGGCAGGGGACAAGAGTGGGGGGCAGAGAAACAATGAGGCCTGTGGCCAGGGTGCTGGATCCACCCTCAGCTTCCCAGCGAGCCCCCCATTCCGCGGCTGGATCCTGGTGGCTGCTGGGGGCGGGGCGGGGGTCCTCAATGGGCCCCTTGTCTCCAGCCTGGGTGCGAGCCAGGCTCCCGGGCACATGGTGCCCTGCCCAGGTCTGGCTGGCCACAGTGGCTTCCACCCCCAGCTGGCTGAGGACCGCCCTCCAGGGAGCAGGCTCCTCCCTGGCAACCTGGGCTCAGTCCAGGCCAGGCAGAGAGCA